AAAGCACATTTAAAACAACAACATTGACCAAAGTACTGGACATGAACAATAAAATAAGATATACACTCATATACATGCCAGCTCACAAGAATAAATATATTTACAGGATTGCGAAAAATACATGGTAAATGGCCTGTATTTGTATAGTGCTTTTACTAGCCCCTAAGGACCCCAAAGCGCTTTACACATCCAGTCATCCACCCATTCACACACTGGTGATGAAACTACATTGCAGCCACAGCCACCCTGGGGCGCACTGACAGAGGAAAGGCTGCCGGACACTAGCGCCACCAGGCCCTCTGACCACCACCAGCAGGCAACGGGTGAAGTGTCTTGCCCAAGGACACAACAACCGAGACTGTCCAAGCCGGGGCTCGATTACAAGGCGAACTCCCAACTCTTGAGCCACGATCGCCCGTACAGCAGGCTAAATATCTAAGCTCTCACTCCAGGATGTAAGCCAGGGAATAAAAAGTATTTTTACAAATAAGCAATGGGGAGGCCAGCCTAACATTACTTTATCAGTATCATAAGTGTGAGATGTCAACTTAGAGAAACCCGGTATCAGCTCATGTCAAAAGTTAAAATGACCCAGCTCAGATTCATTTTCATGACCTGACATAGATCAGGATGTTTGTTCACTCTTCTGTTTTCACTGCTGAACTTCTACTGAATAGCTGCCCTATTTTCTTGCTTTGTGTTGTATTCATTCTCTGCTCAACTCAGTTTCCTCTTGCTTTTAGTCTTAAACCACACTCCCTCTTGCACAGATCCTATGTCTGCATTCTTCTCCTGTGAGGTCTTCAGATCAGTTCCTCATGAGTGCTGTTTGACACGATAATCTATGCATGGAGTTTGTCTACATGAACCTGACATATTGTCTGTTTTGTTGCTGCTCATGAATGTTGCTGGCTGTGGATCCCTCTTGTTTCACACTGCTCTGAAACGGACTGCAGGGTTCATTGGGAGGATCTCAAGCCACGAGACTGCTTCCTCAGGGGAGGTCAAGGCTGAAGCTGGGTCGGGTCTCTGATAGGTGGAGATTTTGGCTCGTCTAGTGGCCGACTTGGACTGTTTGAGTGTTGCCAGGCAAAAAGGAAGGTTTTGATTTACCATCGCGTCTTCCGAGCAGCTTGTCGCAATTAGTGATGTCAGCAGGGAAAGAAACAAATATGAGGCATTTCTTCAAAGAGCAAGCGTACTCTTCCCATGAGTTCATTCTTTCCTCGGGTTTCTGAAGAGAAAAGGGGGCAAAAGTGCAGCCTGTTTCTCTTTGGCCAAGTTAGGTTTTGCAGGTCTTCGTGATCTGCAGGCTAAGGTGTCACATTTAAACTGAACCAACTGGATTATAAAGCGTCAAAAACAGTGACAACATATAAAGTTGGACGGCATGATAAGTTTTGTTTGTATGTTTATTTCATAAGCCGTACTTTTTAGATGGATAACCAATAATAAACTTAGTGACACATCTGAGCTGTGCCTCAGCTCTGCGTTCTATTTTCTTGATTTAAACTATATAACACTGTTTTTTAACACATTGCTTACATTTAGTTGCCTGCCGTATTTTAGACGATTTATCACAGCGCTCTAGTTTGTGAGCATTGGTTGTGTTTTTCATGGTTGCAGCTAGCAGTGCCAAGTTTCCCCACTCTCCTCCTGGCTGTAGGTATCCCATGCAGAGGCCATCTGTCTCTACTCCCCTAATGGTAAGGGTGGAGTCCTCTTTAAACACCTCCCCCACACACGCACTGCCACCACCACCCCGTTCCCTCTTATTTTCAAATGCCTACTGCAAAACAAACAGAGCATGGCATAGATGGAGTTTAGTTTCTTTGTGTGCTTTGACTGGCCTGAAAACTGACACGAGTCAGACAAACTACCTACAGTAGCAGTTGGGGTGTCGTGTCAGGTAGCAGCAGAATGTGGAGCATGTTGAAGAGAAGTTGGGTTAGAGACACGTGTCTGCATACATCAGTACAATGCCACGCATGCCAAGTATGTAAGTGTGCTGCAGGAGGGGGTTTTATCAGCCTGCCATCTACATTCTTGTTTCTGTCATAGATACGTTGTAGGTCTTGATCTCTCTGTCAAGCGTTTGTCTTTTTTTCTTTCGTCAAGCCAAACAAATGAGTTGCACTAGTAAGGTGACAAAAAAGAAAACAGCTGTTGTGATGGCTCAGATGACTGTGGAGTGGAGAATGTGGCTCTGACCCTGATTCTCCCCCACACCAGTGCATCCAGAGGACTCCTATAGAAATAATGCAAACACAGGGCAACAAATGCACTGCAAAGCACATTATAGGGGAAATTTTTTTGTGGGGACATGAAGTAATGACCCAGAGTGACTTTTCCAAATGTCATTTTCAGGCAGATGGCAAATAAGGCCACCTGGACTAAACAATTCAGGTTAAAAGTTTAGATGCAGTGCAGAGCTGTATTGGGTCAGTCTGCACACACAGAAAGGTTTGAAAATGTGTGTGAGGAAGAAGAAAAAAACTCAGGAAAGCCCAAATGTGACAGTACAGCACGAACCTTCACAACACAATGCAACATACATTTAAGACTGAGCAGCCATTCAAAGTATATGCCCGACTCGCACACATGTTCACACACTTATTTCTTATTTTGGAAGAGAGAAACTCAGTGTCTGTTTGTCCGTGTGTGTATGTGTGTAGTCACTGAAATTACAGGGGACGTAATGGAGCACGGGGAGCCTCAGCCTCATTGGCTGTATTCCTCAGAAACCAAGATAGCATTGCTGTGGCTTACCGCTCACATTCATGCCAGCAACTCAAAATACCAGCCAGTGGACCACTTTTATAAGCTTTACTCCATACACATCCGAGACAACGGACAAAGTGGAACTTTATGGCTCCCAAATATAACTTACTCTGCAAGCATGTCAAGAAACCCAAGAAATACTGTTTGATTATTTTGAATAAAATCACCTTTTTATGTTTGATGTATGCAACTTTTTCACAAAGTTTAAGGTGGATGTATTCTGCTTTTCAACCTGAAGCAGGGCTGTAAGTCTTTGTACGACTCTGAAAAATGAGTAAACGTGCGTCAATCAATCACTCATTGGTGAGATTGTTCTAGAAAAAAAAAAAAAAAACAGGAAGGATTTTTTTCCATTTAGAGCACTAGCCAGAAACCTGCAATTTAAGACTTATTTCAGGTTACCTTTCCAAGATACAGCATTCATTCCCACCAAACTAGATGTTTTTGTTTGTTTTGTTTAAACACAGCCGCATGCCTGTCAGCAGTGATCTGTAAAGTGATAGGGATGAGAATCTTTGGCAATAAAAATATCCAGTTCTGATTGTTGGTGTCATGGTTTGATCAATTCAAAAAGGAGAAAGAGGATTTCTTTGTTTTGGTTCTTAGTTCTGTACACAGTAGGGTTGGCACATGTACTCTGTACTCCATAGGCTGATGTTCTTCTTTGGGGCAGCATAGTATTCTTGCATGCACCCATTGTATTATCATTATCCATCCATGCACAATGCACAATGTGTGGGGCACCCATCAGTAAAACGCTTGTATACAATGTGCCAAACTTTTGACTCCTATCATTTGCCTGCTGAGCTGCAAATGAAACTTAGCTGAGTGTTAAGTAGTGCTGATTATGTCATTTTCTGATTAAGGCGTGTTTACAGAAAATGACAGAAAATGTTGGTGGGCACGAGGCTCATTGTGACACACAACGAGCCTCGTGCCCACCAATTTCTGAAATTACCGTTAACTAGAGCCTGGTGAACTCTATCACTCTTGCAGATGCAGTAACTACATACTATTAGTAACACCAATTACAGACAAATGCAGAGAAAGCTCCTTCTGTAAAACTTATTTGTTTAGGTTATTTTTATGTAGCTTATAAATAGTATATTGTTAGTTTTTTGTTGTAAAGTTTGTGTCTATTATTTTGTAAGAAACACAATGGTGTCATCAGCATAAGGCAGTGGTCACACACTTATGGTTGGTTTGTGATGTACAACTAGGCTAATCCTGGCATACGCCTCTTTTAATAGATATTGGTCCTCATATGTGTTAAAAGGTTGTCAAATCTATCTTTTTTCAAGATAAATCTTTTGACACATACAGATATGATACAAATGTGAAGACACAACCATTCATTTCACCAAACTGTAACTTTTTGCTGTGGTACTGTATTCGTTTTTCTGTCTACAGTATTCAGATGGTCATTATTGTTCAAAGCCAAGTTTACGGGTTGCATTTAAAAAAAACTGTGGTGGGCCTTAATTCAAATTAAGGGCCTCATAAAAATAGGCAATGAAGCCATCCTCTGGCTTGCTTTGTTTCATCTCCTTCCAGTAAATTGTTTTCTTGCTTGTTTAAAAGGTGCTCTGATAATTAGCAAAAGGGACAGGCTGAGTGTCCTGTGGTGAGAGTGTGTTGCTTGTTAAGAGCAACCCAGAACCCAGAAGATATTTGTTCTGCTTTTCAACCACAGGAAGAAACATGAATGAAACAAATGGCTGTTAGTGTAACCTTGGGAAAACTACTCAGAATGTTCTGATATATTGCTCCATTATGTTTGGTGCACACTGCTAACATTAGAAAATTGGTCCAACATCTCACATAAGTGAGGGGAAAAAATGCGTTGTAGTGCAGTTAGATACCACATGCCTTGTGAGTATATGCTGATGTTCTGTTTCCGAGAGTTGACACAATCCTCCAGAAAAAAATCTTCCTGAATTAGCTCATCTCAGCTACTGTTTTTCAAATTTAATATCGTCTGGTGATAGTACATCTATATCAGTGTTGTTACAACTGAAAAACTGGATGAGGAGACGCAAATTGAATCTATGTGACTTCCCAGACAATTTTCTTCCACTGCTACACACCAGAGAATAAAAAAAAAATCTCTTAATCCAATGAAGTGACATTGTCATGAGAAATTCATTCTTCCCATTTTAATTATAAGCTGAAACTCTGTCTTTTGTATTTCTGAATCCCAACTCTGTTTTTTCTCTCAGCAGGTGTGAGCAGTAACCAGGTAGTTGTTCCTGAAAAAGTGAATGCAGTGCTGGGAAAGAACATCACACTGGGCTGCCGAATAGAAGTGGGTCCCAGCCTCAGCTTCACGCAGAGCTCCTGGGAGCGTCGTCTTCCTTCAGGCACTATTACCCTGGCGGTATTTAATCCCGAGTTTGGAACCTCATATTCTTCACAATATGAAAAACGTATCTCATTTGTTTCCCCTTCAATACGAGATGCCACCATTACCCTTGAAGGAGTTGACTTTACGGATATCGGGTCCTACACCTGCAAAGTGGCTACATTTCCTTTGGGCAATACACAGGCATCCACCCATGTTAATGTTTTAGGTAAAGTACTGCTTCCTCACTTCACTTCCTCACTGAGTGGTTCCTCATATTGTCCTTAAATCTCACTTTTTAATGAAGGTCATTGTTTGTTGTGATTTAGCAAAGCCTAGGTGAGCACTCAGTGTCTGCCCTGGAGGAAACAGCGGCTCCCTGAAGCAACCTAACGTTTAGATTACAGCCTGGACACATGCCATGTACATTTAAATCCCTGCAGGAATCTGAAGCTGCATAAAGGCTGCTTTGGTGTGGTCCCACCTATCTCCCTCCCCCACTGTTACTTTAAAAGAAAAGCCAATGTAACTGTTTTTATATTCACAACATTATATCCAAATGTTTCACAGAGTTTCCATGGCATCCTCTGTAAAGTCACTTAGGCCCTACATGTAAGACACAAAACGGAAACCTTCTCATTCAGCAAGCACATAAATATAATGCAGCAAGTTCAGAGTGTCCCAGCTCAATGCAACTTAGTTGCTTGCAACAACAGTTTAATTGTAGGGTGTGACACAGGGTGACTCTCATGACATTTAGTTGCGTTTTGCTAAGCTGGATTACAACTACAGTCTGCACCTCTTTCCCTCAAGGCTGTGACGATTGTTGATAGTTTTCTCTCCTTTAACCATTTGTCCATTATGTCCTTAAGTGATAATCAAAGCAAGGTTATTTGCCAGGTCACTAAACTAAAAATGAAAACTACCTGTGGATCCCTTCTGAGCTTCCAAATAAAATAAACAAAACAAAGCCGTATTATATTTTAATGGGTTTTCCCATTAGTATGTTCTTATTTTATCCAAACACAAAGCATACATTGAAAGCAGCATACGTTCCTTTACATAGAAGTTTCTCACTGTAGCCTCACTTTCCAGAGGAGCAGAAACACTGAACTTTCCCTGTGGTCAGCGTATGTTTCAAGCCCTAAATTGGTGCCGTTGCTGAGAGGAGGAGATTGCAGTGTAGGCAGCAGCAGGTTCTCATCATCCTCCAGAGACTGAAGGAGACTCTGATGTCTAATGAGCGGTACATTAAGTGCTGCTGTGACAGCCACGGTGTCTAGAACCTCACAGGGTTCAGTTACAGCTTTCTGTCTTCTCTGAACACCTTCTTGCATATTTTGTTTTTGTTTTTTGGGCGGGTGGGTGGGTCTTATATGGATGCATATATCCACACTCAAACACAAAAGCACATCCTTAGTCCTACTTTACATTTCAGATGTAATTAGGGTGTGGTGTATATTCTTTGCAGTATGATACATGTCAAGTGGAATGTAGATTATCTCACAGGGTATTTCTCTGTGAGAAGGCACATCACGATTACAACACCAAATGTCAGCAGGTTCAGAGAGGAGTGCCTTCCTCATCTCTGCTTTGTTTAGAGGTGACTTTTACAGTTTCCTCCGCCACTCTTTTGATCATGCAGCCCCACTGTCACAAGTCCAATGTGAACAACAACCACAGCAAACAAGAATTTCTGAATAAAACAAAGGTTTCTGGAGAAAACGTCATGGTTAATCCAGCATACGATTGTGTACATAATATTGGTTTTCCAGTGTAAATCAAAGTTGTTTTAGTTTCAGCTTCAGTTTGTAAGTTAACTTAAGATTCCCAGTTTTGATTCCTGTTTATACTCTGAGGTTTATGCGAAGACAGACGACTGCGTTTTCGTTCCTTTCAAGTGGACTAAAGTAAATCAATGATACTTTCAAGCCCATGAATAATGCACCAAAGTCACGACAAACTTCATAATGATCAACAGGTGCAAGAGACGTCAGGTTAATTTCAAACCTCACACAATCGTGATGCAAAACTTGCTATGAATAGTATCAGTACTGTGAGGCACAATCTCAATAATCGTATTAGCTTTCTCACGTTCTTTCATTTTATCTTTGTGTCAACAGCAACTCATAAAAAGGGCCAAAGCTTTTAAGGAACAGTTCAACAGGAAATGTTCTTTGCTATGTGAGCCAAAAGTCCTTGACATTAAACAATCGGAAAGAACCAAAGGAGGAAATTTTGACACATGACCCATTGTTTTCAGATACTTGCAGGGCAAAAGGAAAACTACTGAAAAAATAATTGGCTGTCTTTTAAACAAAACACACTAAATTACTGGCAAGATGTAAGTGTGTACTAATAAATGGTCCAGCTGATAACTCTTTAGAGGTTTAAGCTCCTCTGACTGTTCATATGGCCCAAATTGCAACTCTGTTCTTGAGAAAAGAGCCCAGCAAAGAGATGGCTTTTTCCAGTCTGTTGCCATACCCGAACTTCTGCTTCAAACAGTTAATATTTCTAATTATTATTTTTTTATGCTAGATTTTACCGTAAAAATGTTCCAGTGTTTAAGTGCATGGCCATTGACCATGCTGTTAAACCTTTTCTTTATAGAGCTTTCCACTCAGCGTTTAGTCTGCATTTGTGGACAGGAAAGGGCCAGAGCAGCCAGATTGCTGAAGGGAAATCGTTACCCTTTCCCCCAACAGATTTCAACTCATCCAAAGCGTCCCCCTCCCTTTTTGACAGCAACTTCAAATTAACACCCCTGACTGATTTAGGTATTCTGATGCTTCAGCCAGCTCGCGTCCGAACACAGAGCTGCTACTGTTTATAGTCAGAGGCCTGCAAGGAGGGGCAGGGAGGAGGGAGTGAATAATGTGAGGTAGAGGACTAAGAGCAGCGTCCCCACCCCGGGACAGGAGACGCCAGGTTATTTTTGGAAAAAGGCGGTGCCGGTAGTTATTTGAATTTGTTGTTGGAACTCCTGCCTGTCTGAGGTGTCTTAAAGATGATGGCCTCGCCTTGCAGCGCTTGCCCCCGTGCACCACCTTTAAAACTGTCACCACTGTAGTAAGTGGAACAGCTGTTAGTCTTCATTTAAAAGAGGCAGCTAGGGGGGAGACGGTTCAGATTGTGCACTGCAGGACAAAGAATAAGGCAATGGTTTGTGATATGTTTATTTTGTGATAGATTAGAATAAGACAAACAGTTTTTACTGCTTTACACAACAGGTAGAGAGTTGAATTCTAGTCATGTCCCCTTCACATGGATCTGTTTTGTTTCTCTGTTGAGAAAATCCTTGTTGCGTTTAAACATTGAGTCGTTCTCAGGAAGCTGGTGTATCATTACTTCACCTCTAAAGTGCTGAGAAGAGTACGGTAACTCAGCTCCTCGTCTTCCAGTACAACAAAGTCAAATATAAACACAGCACAGTGTTGGCTGCACAGTGTTTTTCTTCAAAGTCACATGCCTGCTTCAGGTATTGATGCACTTTTCACAGAACAGGACTAATGGAGGTTACTGCTTTGTATTACCTTCACTCAGACATACTTTATTTTTGACACACAGCAATAAAGAAGTCTCCACAGAAATGTGTACATATAATTGAATGGCGTGGTTCATTAATTTTTAAAGCATATAGGTGAAATGGAAGAAGTCAATCTGTGCTCTTTTGGCAGTTAAGTACACTGAAGCCTCCGGGCATTATTTATTCATATTCGTTCACAACGGGATCGATATTCATTTTGTAATCTTTCCCCCGTTCTGTCATTTCTTCCCCCTCCTCCTTCTCTTCACAGTGGAGCCAAAAGTGTACGTGTCCGCAGGCCCCACAGCTCTGCTGGACGGTGGCAATGAGTCACTGGTGGCCACCTGCATTGCAGAGCGTGGTCTTCCTGAAGCCGAGGTTTTCTGGGAGACGGAGCTGTACGGGCGATCTGAGAAGCAGAGTCAGAATGAGGCAAACGGCATCACCACCGTACATGTGCGCTACATGTGGCAGCCACGGAGCTCCGCCCAGGGGAAGACACTCACCTGTGTGGTGAGACACCCAGCCCTGCAGACAGAGTTTCGTATACCCTACATGCTAAATGTCCAGTGTAAGTAATGAAACATAAGACCTTCCATTATAGATACCTTAGTTTTGGCTAACTGCAGATACACAGTGTGGCTGTAATACCAGTGTTGAATTAATTGGCTGTATTCCTGCTGAGGAAGAGCCAAGGATTCATCCTTGCAGGCTTAAATTAACATTGGTTTTCTAACTTTGTTTAAATAAAAAGTAGCAGTTAATAAAATGTACTGATTCTGTATTAATTAGTAAGATAACAGATAAAAACAGGCTCAAGGTAAATTTAAAGCACATTATCATAGTCTTGTCTTAGCTCTGAGAGAATGTTTAGGCTGCTGTCATTTACAGCCACAAAACCATACACATGTCATGAGCTTCCACGAGTCAGCTGAAGTGAAATAATATTAGTAAAGTTGTGTACAACACATTATGTTACCATAAAAGCGATAAAATCTACTGAACAAGCATTACACTCAGCCAATGTCCTCCTTGTGTAATTTCTCTGTCACTCAACATAATACGTTTAAAGGAAGAGGAAGAGGCGCTAAAACACTGTTGTGTCAACTCACATGACCATAGATTTCAGTTAAGTAAGAAAAAATTCTCCCAACACATAAAGAAAAGCTGCTGGTATAGTTGTGTGAAATCCCTCCAAAGTGCTGATAGCTTCCTTCGTGCTATGTTATCTCTCACACTAGTTGCTGATACTGAGATACATCTACCACTTTGATCTGGCATGCACATATCAAATCTTTGCATCCTTGTTTTTAATGTCAACACTGAGGCTGCTAATACAGATAAATAAAATTATTAATCATCACTTTAAAAAATCAGCTGTCTTTAAAACAAAACAAAAGTCTCAAACACAGCTGAAAATGTATGTAGAGGTAAAAGTGTCAAATATAATCCTGCAGCCACTGCACTGAAATGCTTTTACAATATAGAACAAAATAATCATCATTATTATAACACTATATTTTTAGCCCTAAAACAACCAGTGTATTTTATCAATATTAACCTGTGCTGCTGCCTTGATTTGCAATGAGCATGCTCAGTAAATGTTTCTTTCTCGCCTATAAAAGAGCAATTTAGGAGTCGTCTTAATGTTCTAATCATTGATGCATACCTCCTTGGCGAGCAGTAACGTTACTCTGTGTTTGGACTGTGTGAGTGCAGGCTAATGAAGGTGTTTTATGAAATATTGATCAGACCTCAGCAGGAATTCAAGTAGCAGACTCGGGCTGCTGGGGGCAGCGGATGGAGACGCAGAAAAATCAAGGTTAATATGGGAAGAAAGGAGCTTCCCAGCTCAATAAATCACACCAAGTGCAGAGGCAAGGGATTCTAAGTGCAAAAGAAGCACAATTTCAACGTTGAACCGTGTGAAAAGGGTCAGCGGACATTGTGGGCCAAGACATCTTCTTGTGCGAAATAATGAGTTCCTCATTTATCCTCCAGAGAAATCAAAATGAAAAATTGGATATCTAAGACAGTGTTTGCCATGTTTTATTACAGTGGCATGTGCTGGGCTTCATTTAGGCATCCTCCCGTCTTCCTTGATTTTTTTTTTTCCCCTTTGTCGTGGCGACGCAGTAGAGTGTATTATTAGCTGCAGTTCATCTGCTGTCTGAGTCTGTCATTTTCGAACTTTCCACCAACCCAGGATCATTTGTTTGTTCGCTTGGCTCGCTTTCACCAACAGATCCTGTGCCCTGTTACAGTCCTGCAAAGCCTTTTCTTTGTCGTCGTGTGCTGCTGTGCTTTATAATACGTGCTTTGTTTCCTCCGGAAAAGCTCATTTGTCATCAAGCTGCAGGGATCACAATGACTGATTGTGAAGTCCAAGTCTTTTAACTTGAAAAAGAAAAAAAGAGAATAAATGATGGTCAGTGTGACCAACCCGACTGCAGGAGGAGGTTAAAAAAAGTACAGTAAAATTGTGATTTTTTAAAGATTTTTTATTGTATTTTGTTTTACAGTTGCACCAGCGGTATCCATCATGGGAATTAGCAAAAATTGGTACGCTGGCCAAGCAAATGTGAAATTAAACTGTGAAGCCAAGGCCAACCCAGCTGCGCGTCAGTTCACATGGACCAGGTCAGTATGCCTCAACAGTCTCTGATATGTGAAATACAAAAAATGCATTATATCTCTCACACACATTATTATACTGGTCAGTCAAATAGCTCAATAATTAACACAGTTACTTGCAAACTGTGAAAAGCTTACAAGTTCTTTCAGTTGTAATTCAAATGGATAAACTGACTAAATGTGGAATAAACTAAATCTGCAGTACCCAGGCAGCGGATTAATTTGGAAAGGAAAGTGCTGAAGGCAATCCAAGAGCATTATTGCAAAACAGAATGCATTAATCATTTCATCTGAGTTATCTTGTTTGCACAGCACCACCAGCTATAGATCTAAATTTGGACTTAAGGAATTCAAGGCCAGGTACTGCTTAGACTCAGCTGTTGTAACCTTTGCAGCGCTGAGTAGTGTTTGAGTGCTGTAAAAGCGACGCACTTGTCAACTCATAAACCCGAGAAAAATCTTTTGTTGTCTTAAAGCAGTCGGGAGTTTATATTCATGATCTGCACTACTGAAGAATGTAAATAATAGAAGCCAGGAGTAAATACTCTGTATGGGTCATCAAGTAAAATCTCACTCACACGGAAGTACCCTGAAACTTGTGTGTTAGCTTAGTTGATCAGTAGCTCGTCCAATACCGGGCTCAAGGGACGCTTCATTAGCAATTACGACGGGACTGATCAGCTGTTGTTTGGTTCATTTGCATGTATCTAAGATGGGTTTAAACAAACCTCAGTGAAGCAATGAAGTGAAGAAGCCTCAGTCTATAAATTACCTCCAGCATAACTTTCGGGCCTGGACACTGGAGCTGTCGAATGCACTGCTGCGCCCATCGGGAAGACTCCCTGCTATAAATAAAAAGATTCCAAACAGTTCATGCATCAGAGCAGCGCTGGCCTATTGGCAGCTCTTTGTCATCATCTTGCTTTGAAAACAAGGACTATGCTCTCATTTGGGCTGACAGCCTCAGTAAAGTCTAGACAGCCAACCTCTTTTGGGCCAGACCTTGTGTTCATGCAGAAAGCTTTTTCCTCTCAACTGATGGCAGAGCAGGCAGCTCAGATTATCATGTGATCTTATAATAGTTGCACCAGGAAAACTGGACCAACAGCGCAGTGATGTCATCGCAAGTCTTGAATAGCCTTTTTCAGTTGTACATCGAAAATGATTTATCTTAAATATGAAGTAGTGATGTTTTTTTTTCCAGTCCTGCAGGCTTTTTTCTCTGTTGTACAGCACGCTGAAATGTCTGTCTGTCATGTTTAATTTGTGTACAGGTTGGATGGCTTGATGCCTGAGGGTGTTGAGATCTCAAACAATAGCCTTGCTTTCACTCGGCCATTGGAGCGCAATGATTCTGGAGTCTATCACTGCGAAGTGACGAATGACATCGGTACCAGCAGTCAGGTTGTGAACATCTGGGTACAAGGTATTTTTTCTCCCTTTTCTCTCTCTCTAGCTATTTAACAGCTCTCTTGTTGTTGTTGTTGTTTTTTTTTTCTTTTTTTTGTTTTGTTGTTTAACCATCTCCAGGGTTTTCATAAGAAAAGTTGTTTGACTGATTTGGACAACCAGTAAATTAGTTGCCAGGAAGGTCCCTAAAAATAAATCAAAACAGCCATTGTATTAAAACCAAGAGGGGTCAGCTTAGCCCCTGCAATCAGATTAGAGTGAAAATCCTGATGTCATCTCAGGAAATCTTGAGAGCTTACTCACTCTGAAACTAAAATGAATAACTGCCTTTTTGCATTTTTCATGCTTTTCTCATGTAGGATTAAATTCTTTTTTAAATCAGGGCCCATATCAACACTTTTAGCAGAGCTAAGTCTTTATATACGTATAAATGCCCCTGCCCTGATCCGCTTTCACACATTCCTGGCAACAGAGGAGCACAGGGTGCAGATAGAGTATCAGTACCAAACGTTTCCAGTGTTGTGGCTTTGGCAACATTAGATGTTTCAGATAAGGAAGCGGGTGTTTACCCCTGCTTGCTCAGCAGAGTACGCACTCATGTAGCCTTTCTCTGTGTTTTGTTTGAGGTCAAGTTTCACAGCAGGACCTAGTGAATTGTGCTTGCAGATTTGCAGTACACACAAGTTTGTTTTTGTACACCATGAAATATGTTATTGAGGAGTTGTTGTTTTTTTTACAGCTGCAGTTGCACAAATTATGATCGAATTAGTTTAATTGAGCACTTCAGAAATGAGACTATCAAGTAGAGAAAACCTCTTAATTGTATACTGGGGTTTCCCTGCAGTTGGATTTGTTGAATGTTGTAGATCCATTGATACAATTCTTGTCATAAAACATGCAGCTCGCTGAACTGCCCCCGTCTGCCATCAGGGTGCGGATCCTGAGAACTCTACATCATTTTATTTTCATTTCTCCTCTCCTTCTTTTAATCCTATTCCAAACAAAGCTACTGCTGCTTTTGGCCACGTATTCCTTTAACACACGCAGTCTTTTTGGTTTCCCATTGTCGAAAGGAGTGAGCTGGAGATGTCCCAAAAAAGTCTGTCAAGCTCCATCTGCGTACAGTCCTGGTTTGGAGTCCCGCTCCAAACAAAAGCACAGCTGACATCCTGTCCGAGATGGACTTGCGCTGAGCAATTATCTTGCTTCTCTTGTCAGATATTACAACTTGGACATGCGGCCCCTTGCCTCGCTGTCCTGCAGAGATAGTTGGGTTGAGCTCAGTGATATTTCCTCCACACACCCTCACCCTCCCCGGAGCTGTTTGGTGTAGCTGTTTCACATTCCCAGTTGCGTACGCAGCCTTGTGGTTTTTGGCCGCTCGTCTCTCAAATGATCAGCTACATAGTTGCAGACGCTTGTAATCTGCGTGGGGTTAAAATGTGCCGCTGCAGGGTGGGATTGATGGTGACTGATGAAGGAAGTGATTGCCAGTATATCGGTTCTCCAACCTTGATCTGTCTTCCTTTTCCTCTCTCCTGCTTTTGCTTTACTCCTGATCCTTCAGGCTCACACACTGTGTGTAATTGTAGGTAATTAGATTCTTACTCAGTTACCAAATCATGGAAATCATTATAGCTCTATGGGGATTCAGATTTTGATAACTAGTACTTAAGAACCTCCTGGTGATGCAGACCTTTTATTAGTGCGAGTCATATTGCTTTGTAGTCGGGCCTTTGATCTGCCTGCGCACTGATCGACAAGGAGTGTCAGACTGCTCTTCGTTTCAGAAGCTGGAGGTCATCATGGAAGCACTTATCCTGACCTTGAGCTCCAGGCAGCCCTTTCCTCTGCAGCTGTAGCAGAGAGCAAATCAGATGCAGGAACCTCACATCGATCAGTGTTTCAGCTTCTCACATGACTTCCCCACAGCAGAGTTTAGAGGGGAAAAAAGAGGGGAGAGCTAATCACACTTTCTCTGATGCGTAGGAGTGCACGTCCTCCGATCCCTCTCCGTCTCACTGTCATGTTCACGCACACATTGACATTTAACACTTAACCTCTTTCTGCCCTGCTTATTTCCCCCCGTTTTGCTCTACAGCACAGCTTTCAGCAGGCTCTCTCTCTCTCTCTCTCAAGAGAGGCATGTGTCTGTGCAGTGTTGGTATAAATTGATCTAAAAACCATTCGCACTTGCTTTGTTACAGAACATAAAGTGTAGTCTTTCTTCCTTTCAGTTTTATGATTCGTCTCTCCATCTGCTGTCTTTCCTCTCTGGTTTAAATCATTTCATCACATTTGCTCTGCAGATCCTCCCCCCACCACCGCAGCCGCCAGCACCACTGCCTCTGTCCTCCACGACACCCCTGGAACCGGCACTGCTGTGGACCGGCGGAGAGCCCCGTTCACCTCCCCCACCTTGGCGTCCTTACACGACAGCAGCCTGGGTACTATAGTTGGTGGGGCAGTGGGAGGAGTTCTCTTCCTGATCCTCTTGCTGATCCTTGGCGGGGCTTGCTATATGCACCAACGTCGAACCTTCAGAGGGGACTACTACACCAAACAGTATTTGGGACCCTCCGACATGCAGAAGGAATCTCAGCTGGACGTGCTGCAGCCGCACGAGCTGCAAGAGGTCTACGGGGACAAAACGAGCAAAGGTAGCCAGGATCTGAAACCCAAATTGGGTGGGGATATCATTTACCCCGACTACACACCTGAGCGCAAAGACAGGGACGACTGGGTCGACAGGGGAGATGCCAACAGGGGTTTCAAGGAGGGAAACTACTACCCAGATCACTACAACAGCCAAAACATGCACCCCTGCGGGCCTCCTGTGCACAGCCCCATAGTCAACAACGGCTCCCCCTATCTCCCGGAGGACTGCTATGACAATGGTACAGACAGCGACTACGTGTCCCACATGGACGGATCTGTGATTTCACGCAGGGAGTGGTATGTTTGAAGAAACAAGTAAATGGAGGGGGAGAAATGGACAGCTGACTGAGAATAATTTGACAAATGACAGATTTAAATATCATTAAAAGCTGTGTCATTTCAGTTAAAGGATAAAAGAACATTTCTCAGCTCAGTCTCACAATGAGCTCTTTGAACAATACTGCTCTGCCTTGATTTTAACCACTTAAACCTTAAGGACATGGACATGGATTGCGTTTCACTTTTGTGGCATTTCAAGGAGCTGCAAATATGCTGGAGCGCCTCGGTGATATTATCTGTGTAGGTTTAAGAGGCTTCAGCGTACAGTGACGTTTCATCTGATGTGAATGAGGTTTTTCGTTCTCGTGTTTGCTACCTGATTTTGTCGCAGGTCACATGTCAGGTGTTCAAAGCCTTGTCAGTGAAGTATTTATTGCCCTGACTGACTGAGCTCTGCTCCCATTAAATTCTGTGGCATTAAAAAAAAGATCTCATGATTGCTTACAGCCTTTTCGTACAGGCGAGCTGTTTATCATGACCGCGATCAGTATTTCTAGCAAATTATATTGCATGGTTTTGTTTTGGGTTTTTTGTTTTCCAAAGTATGTTTGTAAGTGAAAGGGAAAGTCGTGTTTAAAAGGGAGAATTACACAGGCATTGTACCAAAGGAAAGAAAGCTGACGTTACATAGACGCTGCCCCCGTGCACAGCTCTTCTGTGGCTTTTGTCATTTCACAGCATCTCCTGGAACTTTGTTATACTATGGAAAACCTGAGCGCAGTCACACTTTGTGGATATAGTTTTACTTTCAGCTCCAATTATTTTATTTTGTTATATAGTTGTTGTTTGTAAAATGCCAGGCCTGGTTGATTTGAAAACACCCATGGATTTGATGTCACAGCAGCTATGTACAAAGCAAAAGGGGCTAGTAAACTGCTCAACTCAACACCTGATCTGATAAAACTGCGAATGAAAAAAAAAAAATCAGTCGTTGCTATCTGCCATGGTTTTTTGGAAGACGATTTCTTTAAATGTGAGACAGCAGAAAATGTTTGACACTTTAGGTTAGCAGCACAGTAATAGCAGACTAATTAAAAACTATAATCAGTGAATGTAGCTACTTCGAATGGCTAATCCAGAAAAAGCGCAGACCCTGAGTAGAATTAAAACATTTGCTTTGATATTAACTTACTCATTTTACTCAGTGGAGAAATGTGTTAATTCAGTCACATTCATGCAGTGAAAAGCACAACTCTGTTATTACAGTTGTGAGCAAACATCAAAAGAAGCCACCCGGGCCTTGGCCTTCCCCACTTAGCCATGATAACAGGCTGTGATGCTGTCTTTTCCATTTTCCCTCCTCACTATCCTCGGATTTCTGTCGGTAAGACCAACACCAATAGGGTTTTTTTTTTTTTTTTAAACTTCACTTCAAAGTAATGTGTTATAAATACCAGATGTGACTGTAACGGCTGTCATCATCTAACATTACGCGGCTCCATAAACCACCAACAGTTTCACTGCTCCCGCTCGACACTCTAGTGTCGTGATTCATTATTGTAAATAAGCAACAAATGGAGAAGGAGCACTAATAAACTGATCCTTCAGTTTCAGATTGGATGTGTTTGTTTAAAGTGTGATTGTTTGAGTAGCTTGGAAACGTCGCGAGCAGTTGACGTCACTACTGTACAGGCCCTAATGCTGGGGTTTGGCTCCTCCGAGGATACGCAGCGATCATGGAAACGGGAAACTTAATCCATGAATGAAAAAATCAGAACCATGTAGGTTAAAGCTGTCTCTGCAATGGCTCCCCAAGGGAAATATATAGATTTTCTTCTTTTTTCCTACAAACAACAAAAAACTTGGAACAAACCCCAGGAATATTAAGTTAAAGCTAAAAAGTCGACATCATCAGTGATCTCATCTGTTCCTGCTTGATTTGACCTCAGCCATTTGTTTCCTCAGGAATGATACATGAATCAAAGTGACCTATAAGTCTCGCATGAATGGGAAAACGTACCCTTTTGGAAACGCACCACTTTAGTCAGCTTGTGTGTTACAGCTAGAGAAAAGTCTATGAATATGTATTAAAGTCAGATCAGGACAGGAGGTCAGGTGTATTTATTATTATGAGGTTTAATAGATTTTGGACGCACTTAAAAAAACCAAAAATATTTCTCCGCCCTTGATTTCTCATGCCAGAGCTTTGGTTGAAGGTTTAGAAGCTGAGAATAAACTACTTTAATCTCTTCAGCTCGCTCTCACTCTCATCGCCAAAACACACACACCCGCCCGCCACACATCTGCCACTGCAGCCCACATTCAAGGAGCAGTCCTTGCCTCAGACTTCAGGCTTTTTAATTAACTTTTATTTTTTTCCCCCCGTCATCACACTCGGCGACAGAAGTGCCCGGGCTCTCTGATATATAGCACGTCCATGTCTGCATGTGCGTTTTGTTTCTTTTTTTCTTTTTTTTTTCTATGGCCGATGATTCATAGCTGTCTGCTTCAGTTTCTTATTCAGTCTCAGCTACATCTCAGAAAGACAAAAATGAGCTGGAGTGATGAATGTTTTTTTTTGTTTGTTTTTGTAGTTGTTTGCATGTAAATGAAACTATTTGCTTTTTATTTCTCATCACAAATGTTTCTATACGTGTACATATTGGGATTAGGTTTCGTTTAGGATTAGCTGTTCTCTCGGTTCGGTTTAAATGTTGGTGTACAGTTTGTTCTGGATTCCCCTACTGAATAGTTGGTGCCTTAAATGGGCTGAGCAATGCACAAGCTTAGGAACTTAAAACTATTAATATCATTAAAGAGGAGGACCGACTGGTTCTTTAATATGTATTTCATCTCCATATTTAAGATTTGCTGTTATCAAAGCATTAGAGTTGACAAAAGGTTGATTGTCATGCCTTATACGTTTTAAAAGAAGGACACATGTAACAAGTTGGTTACTGAGAGAATTGCAATAAGCAAAGTTTCACTGGGAATTTAGTCAAGCCAGATTCATAGAAAATATTATTGTCCTGTAAATATGCTGGCTTTTTTATCATTATTATTATTATTATTGAAGAATCTTATTTTTTGTATGAGGTCTGTAATTTTCTGAGTATTAGTTTATCTTTCGAGCATTGAGGAGCTTGTCTCATGATAACATAGGCGGCGATCCTGTTTTCACTGCATTTTGTATTTGTTCTTGAGAGTTTGTGACCAATTATTTTGTACATTGTCATTTGAATGATTGATGTCTCACATGAATCGGAGATGGAAGTTTGATAGATTGTATTATGTTCCTTTGTTTGCAATAAAAACCACCATTATTGCACTCAGTTGTGTCCTGGGATTCTGTTTTTGAAAAGGATTTTAAATTCTTTTACTTTAATTATCTTGCATAGAGGTTTCCCTTATCAAATTAAAGCCTGTCAGTAAGACACAAGACTAGTACAATAGCCTTGCAAACCTTACAGTTAAGTCCGATTGAGATGTGATGGGCATGCATACTTTCAGCTTTAATTCGGTAGTTTCACAAAAATGTTGCAGTATGTTGGCTACACCAAAAGTTTAAAGGTTTCTTTAGCTTTTTTTAGTCTAATTATGGCTTATTTCACTTGCATCAAGTTTGGAGCTCATATTGAAAATTCTTGTTAAAAGATAACAAATGCAAGTTCAACAGTTCTTAATGTCTTGATGCATGCTCAATCATCCAGGTACGTAAATCCCAAAAGGTTGATTCTGTCCATCTGGACGTAGTGTTCTCAGTGGGAGAAACGCTTCGTCACTCATCCAAGTGACTTCTTCAGTCTCAGCTGACTGCAGGTTTCCCCAACAAGAAGGCCCTGAGTAAATGTGGTTGTCCCAGCTGGACATTGTCAAAGCTGGGAAGGCACCTAAAGAAACCTCCAGCCGATCCAGGAGAGAAGAACAACTGCTGCCTAAGCAAAAATCCATAGTGATCACCTATGTGTCAGGAATATCGGAACAGCTGAGACGCATTTTTTCTAAACACAGTCTCTGTGGCTTTTAAACCCCAAAACAGGCTGGGCCCAAAAAGTCGTCCACCCCAAGGATCGGGTCCCCAGACACAATCAGAGTAACATAGTGTACGCCGTTAAGTGCCAGGAGGATTGCCAGGATTTATACATCAGGGAAAGCAAACAATCTCTCGTGAAGCGGATGGCACAACACAGAAGAGCTACCTTATCAGGCCAGGACTCTGCAGTCTATTTACACCTACAGGCCAGTGGACCCTCTTTCAATGATGAGGATGTACACAGAGGACAGAGAGGATCGCTAGTTTGAGCGCGGAGTTAAGGAGGCCATTTACGTGAAAAGGGAAAGACCATCTCTGAAAAGCATAGTAATGATCAAGGAACTGACCTCACAGGCCATTGCTCATTCAGTGGGCTGGTTTCAATTATTGTGCAAATGTACTGTTTACAAGGTTGGGGAAACCTGCAGTCAGCTGAGACTGAAGAAGTCACTTGGATGAGTGACGAAACGTTTCTCCCATTGAAAACGCTACGTCCAGATGAACAGAATCAACCTTTTCGTTCTTCTTAATCTGTCATAAAATAAAGTGCTAACAGTGTTCACCTGATTATGTAACTACATGTCAATAAACTGTCCAATTAATTCTGATCTGAAAGTACGGGTCCAGTGAGCTTGTGATCTCATTCATTGCCTTTGAAATAGCTCCTTTAAGAATAGGGACGAGGTCTGCGACCACTTGCAGTCAGTTGAGGTTAAGCGGTCAATTGCATGCAATCTGTTTGCAGTGAATCAGAAATTTGTAAATCCACTGCTGGCTACAGACACAGAATTCACACTCACTTCTTAGATTCGGACTGACTGATTGATTGAAATATGCCTGTGCTTATAAATTAAACAGCAACCTTTGCAATCAGTCTGTCTGTGTGATTGCAGTCAGTGTGAGTCAGACTGGAGCTGTTTGGAAACAGGTCCTAACAGACAACCGGCGCAACTGCCTTGCAATTGCAAGTGGTTGCTGAGAGACTGAGGCTGTTGGATGTTGATTGCTGCAACTACTTACATTCTGTTGCTGACAGCAAAAATACTACATGCAATTATCAGGCAACCAGCAGTTTATTTCTAGTACCAAGGACATT